CTAGCGCCCAATGGGCTCCGGCGTGGATGCTTTTATATTGCCTAGGTTTTGATGGATAATAGCTAGCAGTGGAACCCAGGACAAGCGTTTCGTCTTATTTGGGACTCGTAGGCTGCATATGCCTCTCTCACAGTAGATGTTGTTCCAAGTATGATTCGAACCAGGGACTGATCGCCTCAAGCACCAGAGCGTTATCCACTTAACCACTGAGTCAGGATAGCCACTTCTTGTGGTGACCGGCATAGTTTTAATGTTGGTACTTATATTTAAAACTATAGCCACTGCACAAAAAGTGGTTAGCGTGACTGAGTCAAAGCTAGTGACAGGCTTTTAAGTGACAGTGCAATGGTAAACACTTTCTAACACTAACTTCTGAGGTAAATTTGGAGCTTAAACATAAAAAGACGATGATTAGTAATCATTTTTCTAGGCAAATGAGTTAACCATCACATAGCAGTATTCATCATCTAGTTTTTACTCAAGTACTAGCTTTATCTTTTAGCTTGAAATCCTGAAGGGATAGCCTGTTATCTACCTTCAAGTCAGATAACTAATTGCTAGTAAAATCTATTCTGTCATTTACATCTTACACAGGAATGCATATTTGCTGAACTCGAAAATCGGACTGCCAAGTAGCACTTATCAAATACGAGAAGTCGAAACATTGGGATTTCATTACTTTCGCTTATCAGTAATCTCAGCTAACTTTTAAAATGTCCGAAAGTGATTACTAGTGATCAACGTAGGTAACAAGTAAATTGCGAGGAAATTTTGATTTGACTTTTCTTTTACAAAAATCTTTGAAACTAAATATACCGTTATTTGATGTTGAATGCAATAAAGAAATTCGAGAGATTAGTGAAATAGAAGAAGGTAAGTTTATCCAGAAACAGGGTTGAGTCTATTCCAGAGTAATAAACAAATACACAAGCCCTCCTTGGTCATCCACTTTTGATTTCAAATCCTGAACAGCTAAACCGACTGATGTGGAATATATATATATATATATATATATATATATATATATATATATATATATATATATCTTTAAAAATCAGTCAGGGGTCATCATACTGAATACTCAATAGCTGCATTACGGATGCATCAAGTTTATTCTCAGCTGTGATAACGTAGTGTGGATTATAATTAAGACGTTAACATGGTCATTACTTTCTTCATTTTGACGTTCTCATACGAGGACTAAATAATTTTTCAGTGCTTCCAAATTTTTAGTAGTTCTCTAACCGATTTCATTTCATGATTATTAAGTATCACCTTGTAATGAGAACATCTGAATGAATTAACCGAACAAGGTATTTAACGAGAATATGACACTTTAACTATCATAAACGCATCGGACGAAGACATAGTTATTTCATCTACAGTGAAATAACAGGATCAAACTGTGATCTAATAAGATCCTTTCAGTCTCATTGAATTTTCTACTCAAATTATCCCTATATAATATGAAATTTATTCGAAATCAATAAGATTTTATAGTTTTAAAGATTCGGTCATCTCTTAGCAGTCTAATTTCGGAATAGTGCGAAGAGATAATCTTTCTAGCTCAATTATTAAATCCTATCCTTATTGCGGCTGAATGATTGTTGTAACTGTGGTTTCAAATGATATCTATGCATTCAATAATTAGGTTTCTTCAGGTTCCAGACAAATAATTCTCCATGGTCCTTGTTACATCACTTCTCGTACAAATAATCCTATTTCCGAGTAGGGTGGTTAGTTTTCAAATGATTCACAAATTACGGGGTCATGGTTGACATTCCTCAGAGCTGAGTCAATTTTAGACTATCTAGTTTTGGTGTCAGCAGGGTTTCCGTTGAAAACCACTCAGCTTATTTGACAAGACATGATTCCTGACACCAAAACGTGAAATAACTAAATATGCTACTCAACAACTTGAATGGAACAGGTGGTCTGAACAACTTGACTCTATGGAATGAATTTATCCAGCTACAGCGCTGATGAGGTCAGCCCATATGGGCGAATTGGCCGTTAGGTGCTTAGATTACTCTGATATGACTGATGAAACTCACAGGTTAAAGTTAGTGGCTGCTAACTACTCAAGATATCCATTATTATATTAGTACTACTCCCATAACTCTTAAATCATTCTCACAGTTGCTCACAGTCAGTGTGATTCATTGGAAACAAAATGAACTCATATAAGAGTCCATTGTGTTTAGTGATAAAATGTGAAATAACCTAAAATATCTTTGAAAGTTCCGAATGTATCCCTTAGCCAGCTTACCATTCATAGTACTGATACTTTAATGCTTATGAACAAAGTTAGTTAGAAGTAAAACTCGGAGTGTGCACCAAGGTCACTATGAAGTAGTCCAAATGCATTGAAGTTTATTGTCTATTATTATAAGCAAAATTACAAAGTAAAGCATGAATAAATTTAAAAGTCATGACTTATCAATCCTTTTCAACATTAAACTCAATTCTATCCAAAATCATCTCCGTTCAAGGTCGTATAGCATACGAATAGGGCCATCAATTCTTAACTATCTAATTTTGGGGGGTTTGTGGGGACTTATTGAGTTCAAATCGGTATTCATCATAAACTGACATCAGTTGGAGGAACACTAGACAGCTGTCTCGCCCTATCATGGGACTCCTCAGCAGTGTGAATCCATGACCCCGTCCACCCCATCAGGGATGGAACCTGGTGGACTTGAGGACAAATACCTAACGATGACATTGGGTGATGGTAGCTCTGCGTCGTGAAATGGTAGAAGTTGGAAATGTGGGCCACTAGATTCCAACCCAGTGGCTTGGTGGGAATATGCTGGTCATGAAACCTGAAGATCCTGGGTCCCATCCTTGGTGAGGTGGGTGAGATCATGATTGCGCACTTCTGAGGAATTCCATAGGACATGACAGCTTTCCAGTGTTCCCAGGTTTCTTATGTTCCTCCAGCTGATGTCAATCCATGATGGATACTAATTTAGACTACATAAAACTCTATAAATCTCAAACTATATTAAGTTACTGGATTGATTTTTAGAAGCTTTCCATTTGTAGTTTGTAGGGTTCTCTTTCACAAAATATCAACAATTAGAGAATTATTTAAAGCCAAATTGCAGTGAGCATTGATTTTGCCTTAACTTTAAACTTGTCAGCAGTGTATAGGCATAACTTTACAATAGTTAAAACCATGAACTTTCATGTTTTTCAGTTAAGTAAGTTAGTAATCAACTACAGGAGATTGTATCCAATGCTTTATATTCTCTAGCCGCATTTAGTTAGTGATATATATTGAACTTTATTCAGTAGCGTTAGCAGGTAACTTGTACGAAAAATAACCGTCTTTTGAAGTTGCAATTCAGTAGGATTTTCTACTCAGTTTAAGAAAATATTTCACATTTCATGTACAACAGAGTTTTGTAGTCGATAAAGAAGCAAGAATAATTTTTTTAAAAATTTCATATCATCTTAATTATTTTGTTTATGATTTGATTCGTTTCATGTGTTTTTGATTGTTCCAATATTACTATATTGTTATTTCTGAATAAATAAGGTCACTTAAACTAAATTACCCACCCAAAACATTTAATACTTCAAGTATAAGACAGCCAAGTTAGAAAAGATTTTCAAAGTGAACTATCACTTTACTAACAGAATGGACCATGATATTCTTCTAGGGAAGACTATTCTTTGTATCCATAATTGTTTCAAACCAACAGTATCAATAAATTCTCCCAATACCTTTCCAAAATATATCCTTCCAATTCTTTAAACTAGAATAAAGTTGTATTGTATAAGTAACACCTATAGTTGAAGAAAGCTTTATTCATTTAAGACATTAAGCGAAAATAATAAAAAAAACAGTGACTAGGAGAGGAATCGTGAACGTAAGTTTCCTCCTAACTATGACTTGTCAGCTGGATGCTATTGTTTCCACCAGGACTCGAACTAATAACCAATAGCTACAAATGCTTACCAAACCATTGGGTTACGATAGCCATTGCTTGTGCGATGGGTATAGTCTTGATGCTTACGCTTGTAATTTCTCGTAGCTGACTGGACCGAATTGACTGGTCTCTTTTGGTAAATGGGCTGCTGTGCGAACGCCTTAATATTGCCAGTATTTTCAATTTTAACCTTAATTAACAATGAAATTTCAAGTGACCAAGCTTTATAAACAAAATGTACTTAATTATGATAATATACTTGGTTGTGGGTAGGAGAGGAATCCAGGACGCGCGTTTCGTCTTGTTTTGAACTCGTCAGCGGGGTGTACATGCACTCCAGTCAGTGATGCTGTTCCCAGTGAGACTCGAACCTCGTATCCATCGCTCCAAACGCCAAAGCTTTATCCACTAGACCACTAAGTCATGATCACCACCCCTTGAATTATCATAATAAACATTCAGGCATATCAAGGAATCCTTAAAGAGCCTATATACCAGAAGGGGTCATAATATTCCACCCAGTAAAACAACAGGGCATTACAAGCAGTATCAACAGGTAGTAATGAAGTATATTTAGTTAAATGTAGTGTTGTATATAGTATTAGTAGATAAACGTTGGATGCCACTGTGTAGTGGATGCTACTGATAAGAATGGATATAAGTAGTATATGTTGAGAGGGCGACAGAAATCATAGGCAATTACCAGCAATGAGCAAATATCCTACCCAGAGAAAGGCAAGATACAATGATACTACAATTGTAGTAAGTCAGACAATACCCAATAGTTTTCCCTCTCTGTCTCATGATGGATGAGTGGATTATCATCAACAAAATCTAAGCTCGTTTCTACTTACGCCATTGCTACAGTAACTTACATACAGGCTTGACAAAAATCTACCTATAGGTGGTCCTTAAAAGTGTTTCTTGATGAAGCTAAATCTTGTTATTCATCCTTTAAATATGATAAAATTGGTAGGTTCTGCCAAATAATCAAATAACAGTAGTATAATATTAACCTCAAAAAAACACTAACTTCACATTATGCAATAAATATTCACTTACTTTTGCTGTAAATATTTATTAACTGCTAAAGGTTGAACTGCGATTAATTTTATTCCTTCGCTGGTAATATCTGATTTCTTTTCACTATTCTGTAGAGAATTTTCACAATCATCAGTATTCGTTTGAGATTTATTTTCTAATGACAGAAAAGAAGAATATATATTATACATAAAAAAGAAAGTTTTTTTTTTCAAAAAATAAAAGGATTTAAATTACCATCAGGAAGCATGAAATTATGCCTTGATTCCTCTTCTTGTTCCATGATGTAGAGTTTATATTGTTGATTACATGTGTATATAAACTTCGACGGCTGAAAAAGATGAGTCCTTACTGTTTAAAGTGTCAGTCGTACACGTAATAAGATCTTAATAATTAGTAATATTAATGATATATAGTAATGTATGCATTCATATTGATGTCAATGTGATTAAAAATAGTAATCCTTTTGTTTAAAATACTATTGTCATTTGTTGTTCAATTGTCAATGAGTTTTTAAATGAACTCCAGTAAATTAATTTAAATTAATAATTATTGAAATGTACACATCAGCCTCATGTTGAGATCAATTGCTTAAAGTTACCTCTGGATGGATTATATTAAATAAATGGATTATGAAGAATATTGGTGAAATCTTGAAAAATCTGATTGTTAGGGAATTCTAAATACCATAAAAAGTAAAGATAATACAATATATATATATATATATATATCATTCTTTGTTCAGGATGAAAATCTTTTTCACTTCATTATTCATCAATAAACTTTCCTTCTTCGTGTTTCTGATTGCTTAAAAAGAGAAGAGATGGGTTAAGGGACATAGAATAGGTAATACTCCTTCTTCTCTATCTCGCCTACTTTATCATATGAAGAATAATGACCAATAATATTTTTCATTAAGGTAGAATGACAGACAAGTTGTCATGGCTACCTGCCTACCTAATCCACGGGTTTCCCTTCAATAAATAATCTAAGTATACATACAAATACGCATACATATGAGTATCCCCAGACTTCTCATAAGTAAATACTACACACAAAGATGCAAGATATGCATACTGAGTTGAAAAGAAAACGATTGAAGATAAGATTTATTGTAGACACTTATTCTCATGTACAAAGTAGATAGTTCAATCAAAATATAACCGTATAATTTATACTATATTTACTTAGTACTGATTTACTACGGCCTAACTATTCAGTGTTACTATGAATCTAAACAACATGAAAACACTGATAATGTAATATTCGTAATTAGAATTGAATGGATGACCTATGAAGATCATACGTCTAAACAAAACACAGTTGATGGAAGAGAATTTTAAAATGAATGTTGTAATTGGAAGTATCGTGAAGTTTTTTAGCCAGTGAAATTCGAGTGTCTCTTCTATCCCTTGTAAAAATGTATTATGGTTGTTGATTTCAAAAGGGAAGAAACACGAAAGCCTGAAACTATTCAACATGCATGTTATCTTTGATATTACTGATAAAATCATTGTGAATAATATATTCAATTGAAGTTGACTATTGTCTATTATTATTGACTACATAACCGTACATTTACCTTAAACCATAAGGTTTAGTCATAAATTATGAGTTCTACTGAATGTGTTAGAAGAGAATACCTCCCTAACAGTTATGCAAATAGTTCAGCCATTCCCCCAAGTCAATGACTCAGAAAACTTTCATTCACGAAAACAACACCATTATTCAGTTTGTCACAATTTAGCCTAGGAATTACAGAAGCGATGATACAGAGACTGAAAACCAATATTCTACCTGTGATTAAACCAAAATTAAGGTTCACTATTTAGACGATACCTTTGTCATCATTAGAAAAAATGATGTAGAAGACACCCAGTTTTTGATCAAAAACGTTTTCAGTGACATCAAATTCACAATGGAGAGGGAGTCAAACAACCAACCACCATTCCTGGATGTTCTAGTCAGTAGGACAAATACCGGAAAACTGGAAACCCAAGTGTACAGGAAGCCAATACATACTGATCAAATCCTCAACTACAGTAGAAACAACTCAACAAAGCACAAAATTAGTTGTGTGCAGACTCTATTCAAAAGAGTGAGAACACACTGCAACATAACAACTTCACAGAGAAACGAAGAAAATTACTTGACAACCACCCTAAAGAAGAATGGCTACTCATGAAATTTCATCAGAAGATGCCTATCCCGTACATCATCAACTATAAAGTCATAGACAGAAATCAACAAACACACCATCCCACCATACATAAAGAATATATCAGAAATCACGACAAGATTACTGAGACCACTTGGCATTCGTATGGCCACTCATAAACCAACAAAATCCTTTCAAACACTATTATGCAGGCCAAAGGATACAACAACCAAAGAAGACAAATCGAACATCATTTACAAATTGTGGTCAACACTACATTGGACAAAGAGGTCGCCCTCTTCGCCTTCGTCTACATGAATACCAATTGACTATTAAACGTCACGACATTTCATCACTCATTTCAATGCACGTGGATAATTAAGGACATGAATTCAACTTTGACAATGTAAACATTTTGGACAGAGGAAGTAAAATGAACATCAGCAATCAACAGATGTATAAACATAGACCCAATCCTACCAACTAATGAGAAGAATGATAAACGACAGAAATGTCAGAGGTGAAGCAGAGGAACAGGCAATAGGAAAATATACACATTTAATAACATAACAGTCAAAGGAAACAACCAATCATAAAGCGGTTCATCAGGGCAAGTTAATGAATCACTGATGGAGGATACTGACAGTTGACTTCATACTGAAGTTAGTGCTGATAATGTTGTCAAGAAAGACGATGGAAGCTCCACGATTAAAGAACCCAGCTCAGAGGACACAATGCAACCAAAATTACAGAATGCACAATTAATGATAAAAATTCGCTCCCTTTCCAGTATTCAAGTTAATCTTACTTAAATAAGAGAACGTAAAGTAATATAAAGTACCATGTGACTTCTATGTGGTAATTTTTTCACTGTAAAATGTATCCAAACTTTCATTACTTCACTTTATCCTGTTTATTTTCTTACGTCATTTTCTGCCTCGCACATTTGGTTCTGTATCAGAGATTAATAGTTTGTCTGAACTATGCTCACTTTCTACTCTTCAAGTCATTGTAAATTCATAGCCTTCTAAAGTAATGCAATTCATAATAATGATTTTTCATCCACCCCTTTACCTTATATTTCAATAAAATTCACTTAATAATTTTACAGAAAGCCAATCTTCCTCTCAGATTCTAAACGATCTCCCCTACTTTATTCATCTACATTATCTATGTTGCTGGTTGATCACGTCAGTAACTTGTTGTTAGCTTGATAAAAGTATCTTCGGTAGAAAGCAGTTGGAAAAAATCACTAATATAGAAATTCCTCATATTATCGTACTACATGTATCACTTTTGCACTGTTCAATCTTTGCCGTAACAATCATTGCATCCGTTTACTGAACTTTACTTACAATTACCAGTAAACATTTGACTGGAGATCTCATTTATTATCATCATATTGTTGCTTTCCCTTGGGTTCCTAGTGGAACATAGGGATTCAGCAGCACGTCGCAACCTCACTCTCTTCTCTACACTCTTCCCTCTTAACCTGGATCCACAACTGCCCATCACCTTTCATTTCTACATGACACAATCTCCTCCATATCACTCTCCTCTCCAATACCCAACTCGTCGTTTCCTCTCCCCATTCCACTCGAAAGGGGTCTGGTCTGCTGCGTGATGTCCACAATCCCTCTTCTAACTGCGTCCTCAATCCAATCCAATCCAATCCAATCCATCTCCACCTCCTTCTTCTGAATATTTGTGGGACGAAGGCTTCTTGCTTCGTTGATTCATTGCCTGCCAGCCAGCCTGCCAGCCAGCCAGTCAGTCAACCAGCCAACTAACCACAGTGAAGTCCTTGTTGCTTATTCTTATTACTCTCGTCATCTCATCTGATCTCAGGCATACAGTGAGTGTAGGTGGCAGCTGTTCATGTGATGTATGTCTGTAGTTTGTTGGAAATGTCTTTCGTAATCTGCCAAGTCTCTCAAGCATCACATGGTGGCACTGACTTACTTCACTGATTTAGTGTAGAACATCCATATATTGTTCACGCTTTATGTTGAGAGGAGTGCAGTAGATCTCCACACTGATCTCCACTGATCTCCACTGGTCTGCAATGAAGGAAGGCCTGTTTTGGTGTCTTTCCGATCGTGGCTACTTTGACATCGTGATCTGTGCCGACGCCGTTGCTGCGTGTAGTTGTGAGGATGCTGCGTAGCCTAGGTAGGTGAAAGCTGCTACTTCCTTTAAGATTCCCCCGTTCGTGGTGATTGATGCTTGTTGTTGTTGGTTGAGTATCTTCATCACCTCTGTCTTCTCCAGATTCACTTGAAGTCCCATCTTTGTTGCCCTGCCTCTTCTGTCAACTTGTTGGCTGTTGCCTGTAGATGTTCGAGTTTGTGCGACATTAGACAGACATAAATCATCATGGGCGAAATCCAAATCTTCTAGGCTCTTTTCATAGGTCCGTCGTATACCCCTCTTCTCGCTCCTCACGGTATCTTATTTATTAAGTCGATTTAAATTATGTTTCTGGTTACCAATTTTACGCCATCTTCAGTATTTGAATTCTTCTTGCCAGTATTATCAACAAACCATTATAAAGAAAAACACTTATTTATAACTGAACAACCGAATACTTCTAAAATCGTCTTGTTCTCATACTTTATACATAAATATTTGATTTCATTGAAAATTCAAGTTGATATTCATCACGTTCTGAAATCATTGGAAGAACTATTGAAAACCTGGCAACATTGGAGAGCTGTTTCATCCTAGTATAATACTACACATCAATGAGTACCCAAGACCTCGCGAGGGGTGGATTCCATGATCTGAAGTTTCTGTGGGAAGCATGTCACCGTTGAGCCACTGTGTCAGAATCCAACGGCCTATATTTCTCCACTCCTGTCAGTTCAAAATATTGTATGATCTTCATCCAAGTTCGTTTTCTTGTCCTCAATTAGTTTCAAACGTGAAACTCAAAACCTTTTTCAACTTACTATGGTACCGAGACGACAAATACTGCTCAGCTGTACTTGAATTTTTTTCTGATAAGACAAAATCATCATCATAGGATTCCAACATTAATCATTCATGGATATCTTGTGGGAGAAATAATTTTTTCTAAGGAAGGAAAACATTTTGTTGAAAAGAAAACGTTTAAGATAAAACTTACAGTTATCAGGGGGAAAATATCTAAAAAATGGTAAACAACAATTCTGATAGATAATAAACACATACCGGTGGAATATTTGCATATGTTGTCATAACAGTTGGGCTGTAGTTTACTGGTCTGGGTGGTCTAGTAGACCACGATTTGGCGTTTGAAGCAACTGGTTATAGGTTTGAGTCTTGGTGAGAGCAACAACGATCACTGGGAGGCTGGTAGATCTAGCTGACGAGTTGCAAATAGAACGAAACGCGTATCCTGGACCCCACTGCTTTCCACTATCCATCATTAATATCAAAATTGAAAATACCGGCAATATTGAGGTATCCACGCAGGAGCCCATATGCCTATGGAGACAGATCATTTTGGTCCAGTGAACGAAGGGATAATACAAGCAATGTCATATAAAAAGTAAATTTGTTGAAATTC